AAATACGGGAGAAGGAATATCAGATGGTACATTAGAAATTTTATTTTGTTTTAGGAGGATGACACACTTAGAAAATGAGGTAAGTTAAAAGGAACACATACACTCATTTTAAGAAAAATAGACTTCAGCCAATTAGAAAAGAAAGAAAATCAAGAGGTAACTAGAGTATATTATTCTCCAGATTATTTTTTATCTTTCCTCAAAACCAAATCAGAAACCTAAAACTTAATTTCCAAAAATTCTTTTCAACAAATGGATATTTGCTATACTTATTGTGAAACTAGGATAGGGTTATTTTTGTTTTTGTTTTGTTTGGGTTTTTTTCAATTTCTTAAGGCAGGCAAAGCTGACGCTTTAGTGCCAACATGATTTTTCTAAGTCAATACTACATTGTCAGCTTCTGTCAAATTGTAGAAAACCCAAATTCCCACATGGTATTAGTTTTTGAGCAACTTTAACAAAACAGAAAAGTGCGTGCCTTGGTTTGGTTTCTGGTGGTACATAAGTTCCGATCCAGCACTGAAAGACTGCTTTCTGGGCTACTGTTTCTGATACTCATCTGTCCCCTTTATTTTCCACACTAGCACATTCTTTGCCTACTTCTCTAGACCAAGGTGATCAAGTTTATAGGGCATTGATTTCTTATATCAGCTTAATCCTAGATTGGCTCGCTGCAACACCTTTTGGCATGCTATTCTAGTTTCTTGTCCTCATCACACAGACTGTGGAAGCATCTAATCCTGAATTTAAACACTAATTTACAAATTAGGGTACCTCTAACAAGTCTCTTATGCTCTCAAATCTCGGATCCCTTACACATTAAAATAAGAGTAATAATGCCTATCTTTTAAGAATTGACTTTTAAGTGCTTAAATATACTCAAACTTTTTTTTTTTTTTTTCAGTATTGGGGACTGAACCCAGGACCTCTGCACTGAGCTACATCTCCAGCCCTTTTTTATTTTTTATTTTGAGACAAGGTTTTGCTAACTTGCTCAGCTGCCCAGGCTGCGTCAGCTGGCCTCCCCAAGTGGGGGGATTACAGGTATGTGTCCCCCATGCCCAGCTTCACGCTTCCTAAGCATAGTTGGGCTGTAGGAGTGGGATTCTCAGTTTTACTCACACGCCTGCTTCTTAGTTGTGTCTCTTCAAACACCACACCCAACTCTGGTGGATAGCAGAAATGCTTTCTCCTTTCTAGCTTCCACGGTCCTGGCAAGACCTAACAGTTTTCTAGCTCTTCAGGAAAAACAATGCCAGTTCCACAGTCCTAAAGGATACTCATCCCAATTTTAGCTCTTCTGCATAGATTTTACAAATACCTGCAGATTCTCCTGGAATCTGAGGTTTGCAGACTTCTAGGCATTAACTGTTCCTTTCAATAGAACAGTAAAAGTCAGTAGTTCAACTATGTTAGCTATCCTGTGTATACATATACATATATTTCCCCTTCTTTCTTTTCTCTTTTCCCTCATCCCAGCTGTTCTTTCCTTTTGAGCAGTTTCCTTCCCTTTCACAATGTCTATTGTACCTCCTAGATTTTAGTCACTCTTTCAGGTTCTTACACTAGTGAGATAATACAGTGTTTACACATGCAGGTCTGATTTATTTCACTTATGAGTATGGTCTTTAGTTGTGTCCATTTTCCTATAAAAGCCTCAAGATTATCTTTCTTTATAGCAGTGTAATATTCCATTATGTAGCTAACATAGCTGAACTACTGACTTTTATTCTCTATTGAAAGGAACAGTTAATGTTTAAGTGTATGATCACTCTTACACGTCTATATTTCTTTATCTGAGTATCCAAATTGAAAATATCAATATGTAATACAACAACCATTGTTAATTTCCTATCACCTTGTCTGAGATTCTGTATTGCTTATATTGTTTTTATGTTGTTTTCTAAATGTACGTGTGTTTGCTAACATGGTTTCATTCTTTTATCTTTAAAATTAAAAAAAAGACTTCTAGGCACCACTCTCGGGCTTCTAGAACCAGATGTGGAAAAAGTGCAAGTGAGTCTCCCTCAAAGATTTCCTCAGTTACTCTTATCTTGATGTCCTCAGGCTTGAAGAAGGACGACTAGGATAGATTAGGTAAATGTAGGGCTAAAAAAACCCTTGTTTTGCCAACTTTTCCTAAGTGATTAACATCCCTACCTGCACAGTTGGACAGGGATCTGACTTAGATTTTCAAGATAAAAAGGGAGACAAAAAATTGAGTTTCCTTGTCTACCTCCTACCTATCTTTATTTGCTCTATTCTGCCTCATAAAGGTCTCACTGTCTTCTTTTCTAAGCTACCACCAGACTGTTTTTTCATTGGACAGCGCTGGCTTCTCTAATGGCCTGTTTTCTCTGTTACCCTCACACATTTTAAAAACCCACTCTTTTATGAAAACATTTCACAATATCATGTTATAGAAAGTAAGTTACAAAACAAAACAAAAACCTTCCTAGTTCCAAACCTGGGTCCTTTAACTTACCAAATGACTTTCACCTAGTCATATAACCAACTTGGGGTTTAGTTGTTTTTAATCTGCAAAACAGGGAACAATATGTCCTAGACATATAATTACTCAAGAAGCTTCAGACCAAATACAGTAATACAGGTGGATATGCCTTGAAAACTGTAGTTTTATGCAATGCAGAAAGCATTATTCATTCAATGAAGCAGTATAGAATAACAGCAAAGAGAAAAGAATCAAAAATTGAACTGCCAGATGGAATCCTGGTTCTATCATTTACCAGGTCTACCTTTTAATATGTAAAATGAAGATTATGATACTTATTCCATATGATATTAGCTCATTGATGTCAACAACACTAACGCCTACTGTGTGTTAGATATGGTACTAGGTACAGGTGAGACAATGAAAGACTTGGCTAACATGTTTGATAAAGCCACTATCTCCTACTCTGTATATTACATGTTTTAATCATTTGCATCATATATACTTCAAGGTAAACAAAAATCCATATTGTAAATAGTTTCTATAGAACATCAAGTTAAAATACCACAATTTCACTATTTCTTTTCTGTAAAAATTTCCAGTGAGTATATAATGACTCTGGCATTTCTTTTCCTAATCTATCACCTCAGAACTGTCCTGATGACTCCTGAGTAAACTACCTGGGACATGTTTCTATCAGACATAAATGAGCTAAAATAGTGTTTCTCAAACTAGCATCCTAAGACCATCTACTTCTCAATCACCTACATTGCTAATTAAAAGGAAGCTTTCTAGGCCCTATTTCAGATCTACTGATAAAAAAATGACTGTAAGATGCAGGAATCTGCACTTCCAGTAAATTCCCAATGTGATGTTTATGCAATCCCATTTGAGAACCATATTCCCAAGAGGGGTGGGGGAGAATGTCCTGTTACTTAAGAAATCTGTAACCAAATACTGAATAATGATCCAAACCATCACAAAGGAGAAAAAATGTAATCCTCAGAATAAAATTTCACATGCCTGTCTCTTAATAGGTTGGAGTCAGCAATCCACAGAGATTAAGACTGACTTGAACAGCTATATCTTAACTCAGAATACTGAAGAAACTTCTACTCCAGAGGCCAAGGCAAAGCGGGGAGGGGGGGACACTGAAAAGGAGCAAAGAGAACAGTGTACTGCATTAGTTACATCTCCTAAAACTGGGGGTTGGTGATTTCAGGAAATGGAACAACCTTCTTAAACTCAGTCGACCAAAGACAGCGCCCCCTGCTCCCACTCCACGTCGTCCACAAAACTCAGACAATCTCTCAAACGTAAACTTGCTATTTGGGAGTCAATTTCATCCTGTGACCTTCTGAACAATCAAACGCAAGGAGGAAGGTGATCTTTTGATAAAAATAAAATGAAACAACCGGCTAACATCTATGCCTCTTGGTGAGACGGTTACAGAAGGCATCTCACGAAGACACTATAGAGAATCGAGCAGCTCTGAACACTTAAGAGTGTGAACTTTCAAAATAACAACAACTCAACGCTAACAAAACAGTTCTCTGTCCACCGAGCCACAGGAGCCTGGGACCCGCCCTGGTTCAGTTAATAAAATGGCTTTTGGTTCCTAGATTGCTGCGAAGTTAAGCATTGAGACCGCACGGAGCTGGGAGCCCAGAGCGCAAAGGACGCCCAGCCTGCCCACACTCACCATCCAGAACCCGGTCTGGAGCAGCAGAGCGGGCGGGCCCGATTTCTCCCGCATGGCTGCGCCGACTCTTCCCCGCCTGCGTGAGCACCGCCCACCCACTCCCGAACCCACTGGGCCTAGCCTCTCCTTCCCCCTCCCCTCGGCCTGGTGCTGAATCATGAGCCCAGCATCTCCAAAAGGTAAAATCCAAGAACAAAGCCCGGGGGCGGGGGTCTCAACGGGGTAGCAGGTCCGGGTGGGGCAGAAGGCTAGAAACCACAACTTTGATTTGCTTTTCCCAAAACCCCCGCAACTCAAACCCCAAAATAAATAAATAAATAAATAAAAGTACTGCCGCAGGGACTCCCAAGAGGGTGCCCCTTTTCGATTCATTGTTCTAACAGGCTGCCCGGAGCCCCGCTGGGCCGGCAGCTCACGTGCCGGGGATGGGGGGCTGGGGCTCCGCCTGCTGGCGATCGGACGCCGGCCCCTCTCAGCAGGGCAGCGAAGGCCCTTTGCCCACCCTGGTCGCCATCCTTCCAGCCTGTCCCTAAAGCCGAACCCAGAGTCCCTGGAGGCGCAGGCGCCGGGTGGGTGCTGTCCAAATGCTGGGCGGAGGCGGGCGCGGGCGTGGGGGCGAAGCGAGGCCTGGCCTGCACCCCGCAGCGGCGGCCCTCGCCCCCCGCAGAGATCCCCGGGCACCGCTCGGCCATGGTTCCTCCGCCCCGGCCCATGCAGCCCGGCGGCAGCCCCCTCCCAGCCGTGGACGCTGGCCCCACGCAGTCCTGGGCCCTCCTTGGGTCCTCAGAAGCCGAAAGCAGAGGACAGCCCCAGGCCAGGCAGCAGAAGTGGCCGCTGGCTACTCACCCCAGCTGTTCCTGTCCCTGCGGTTCTTAGCCATGGTGGTCCGCAGGCTGGGGGCGGCGAGGCACTGTCACTGCGCTGGCTGCAGCGGGCGGTGGCAGGCTCCGTGCCCGCGCTGGGCGCAGCTTGCTGAGACTCTGAGGATGTTGCTGTGGCGCTAGAGGAAGGAGTAGGGAGGGAAAGGGAGGAGAAAGCGGATGAACCAAGCTCAGCATCACAAGCTCGAGTTCACACAAACACCAGCGTCACACCCTCCCTGCCTCAGCCCACCCCGGAGCGCGAAGACAGTGACAGACGATGTACTGCAACATTTCCAATGGAAAACACACACACATAAACAGCACCCGGCATACACACCCTCTCAGAGAGGCTGACAGCACTACCTAGTGACAGGAACACACACCATATATTGCATTATTCTGAGGGCTCAAATACCTGCTTCCTCTAGGGCCATCAGCCATTGGCATACACACGCTGGCAACATTTATACGGCTAAAGTAGTTAAAATAATCTACATTTACGAACCAAGCACCCTTTTTTCCATTGTAAAAGCTAGGTCATGTTAATAAAGAGGGTATTATGTATTTCTGATATGAATACTGGGCAGGTTTACATTTTTAAATTAGGTAAGCGAAATTCATATTAAGGAGAGCTGGAGATTCATCATAATCTGTAGCTAGCTTAACATCTAGTGGGCATTTCCCACTAGATCTGCAGAGGTAACGTCTAGAGTTCCAGTCCCATGGCAAATATTTGAAGAACACAGTGCTTCATAGTCTGGGTGGGTCTTGGTAGCCATCGAGGCTGTGGACAATTCTGAATGAAAAGCAAAAGGTGATACTTTTTAAAAATATTCTTAATTTCTTCCTTTTTGCTTTTTCCTCTCTGCCTACAAACTTGGTTGTCAGCTTCCTAGAAACACTGTCCCTAGCGCTACCTGGCCCACTTCGTCCCATTCTTCACCTTGTTCCGTCTTGCGTTTGGTTGCTGCCCACCCTCTGTCTGCACTGATCAGTTCTCCCTAGACCACCGTGAGCTTAATGACCACATCCATGGTCTCTGCTTACGGTTCACCATAAACAACTCCTCTCTCAGCACTCTCTTAACACAATTCATTCTGATGGCTTCAGACAGGACCTCCCTCCTGATCCACAAGTCTGTAAGACTGGAGAATCATCACACAATGAGCGTATAACTGCCTGAAGTTATCGCCACTTTGTTTTCCCACTGACATTTCAAATCAAACTCTCTCACCTGCCACTACTGAATCTTATGCATTCCATATTGCAGTCACTATATTTCCCCCCACGTAAGACTGTGTCTTTTATTAATTTTTTGCTCCAAAAGATGCCACATGGCTTATTTTAGGGGATGTGTTATTATTACATGTACAACAATACACATTTAACCATGTACAACAATCTACATTTATTCACATAGTCATCTTCTTTTGGAGCATCGTCGTAACTCTCCAAACTCCAAATTCTGGCCTGCAGTTCTCAGGGCTCCATTTCCTGTAGAACCATTGGTCCCCATCTCGTGAACAGCAATAGCACTCTCCTTAAATGAGCGCCTCTTGTCCATGCAGCCTGTGTGTAGTACACTGGCAACACAGCTGTCGGTGCTTTTACCCCATGAGCTCTTCACGGAAGTTGGGACCTCCTGCAGGCTAGGCTTCACAAAGTTCCCAAGTGTTAACTGAAGACTTACAAGACAGGAGTGGCAACAAAATTGGTAACAGTTAAAAGTGATGGTCCACACAAAAGTGACAAAAACTGCACCACCAAAATTCAGAAAACATTTATTTCACATGAGTACACTACGTACATCTGTTACAACACACGTGTTGAATTATAAAGATTCATATTAGACACAACTATGTCCATTCATTATCAACTGTGCACGTTATTCACGCATGTGTCTGTACTCTGAATGGTCACGTGGCAGTAAGTTTCAAGTGCATTTGTTTACACAGGTGTTTACCTCATGTCCAATGGCACCCACTTGGGTATTTGCAGTTACTCAATTATAGTTTATATTATCATTTATTTTAAGCATTAATGCAATTTTTTTTTGTCTTTTTGAGACTAGGTTTCACAATGTAGTTCAGACTGGCCTTGAACTCACTTTGTAGCCCCGGTTGATCTCAAACTCCTGGCAATCCTCCTGCCTCAGCCTCCTGAGTGCTGGAATTGCAAGCATGCCTCACTACACTGGCAATGCATTAATTCAGTATGTCCATCATGTGCTGCAACAGATGTACTCTATGTGTCCATCTGACTGACAATCTTAACTGGGGTTTATTTTCAGAGTAGGGCTTATATTGTAAGTATTCTATTCTATTCTAAGCATCTTGAAAAATCATGCTAGGGCTTACTTTCCAGGTAGGTTTTATTTAGGGTTAGGGTTGGGGAACAGGTAGCATCAAGAACACTGTAAACCAAGTTTACATTGTGGTCTTAAAGGAGACTACACCCAACAGAATGGCATTCCGCAACAATAATGGAACATTGGAAGACAAATTATCTCACCCCTGTACCTATGAACCAAGTTCACAGAACAAAATGTAGTACGTTCTGCTTTTGATTTTGTATTTCTTTGCTCTAATTCTCAGCTCCCATTCCAACCTAAAAGTCTCCGTCATTTAAAAAAAAAAAAGTATAGTGGAATCCGATGTAATGGATTCCAGAAAAAGGAGGTGGGGGAGAAGGAGGAGGAGGAGGAGCAAGAAGGGGAAGGGGAAAAAAAAGGATATAATTCAGTATCTATTCATAACTGAAAACTGATTTTTAAAAACCCTTTCCCTCTGTAATTAACAAGTACTTACTGGAAAAATACTCCAAGACTGTGTACCACACAAAAGCTTCAGTAAATAACTCTGTGATATACCGGCTTTTGGGTTTCTGTTTTTGTACTGTTGGCCAAGAACTTTTCAATTAATGATTTTAGTACCACTGGTATACTTATCCGAAGTAATTTTACAGTAACTATTTTAAATGAGGATTTTTAAATAATCCTCTAATTTCTTTTACATTTTATAATTATAGCTATCATTCTCTTTTTCACCTTTGTTGAGTATCACTATGGGTGTTCATGGAATCTTAAAAATAATTTTTTCACTGGTATTATTGTCTTTATTCTTTTTAATGTTCATAAGCCTTTAAATTAGCCAAATAAGAGCCCTTTTGAGTCAGCCCCTGTGTACTTCTCACATGTTCCTAATTTTCTTCTTTTCTGCCCCATGGTTTTTTGGTTTTTGGTTTGTTTTGTACTGGGAATTGAACTCAGGACCTTGCCCTTGCCAGGCAGGGCCACTGAGCTATATCCTCAGCCACTATATCCTTGTGCCACTGAGCTATATCTTCAGCCCTTATTTTCTGGCACCAGGAAACATTTCAGGTTTTCCTTATATTTTCTCTGCCTCAGAACTAGAATCGTCATTTCTCTGAGAAGATCTAGCTCCTCATAACGAGAAAAGATATTTAGAAACCAAGACCTGGATGCTGGTTTATGCTCATTGGTGGCTGAAGTGTCTGTTTCTGGACATTGCTAGGCACTGCTCTGTTAGTATGCATTATTAGAACACATTTATTTTTTAAAATCACACATCTAAAGTCTGAGAAAACACTTTCTACAATATGAAAATGCAAATACACATCATTATTTATGGCAGAATTTTTTAACTGTAAAATACTGTAGACAAGCTAAATGTCCATCAGTAAAAGATTGGTCAAATACACTACAATATATTTACACAGTGGGGTATTACATAGCTATAAAACAAGAATATAGATCTTTATAAAGTGAATAAAGGAATTTCTAGTATGTTAGATGGGGGGAATCAAAGGGCTAATAATATACCATTCCTATACAAAAAGAAAATTATATAGAAGAAGTTCCTTTTCATCTATGCAAAATAAATACAGCAAGAATAAAGAGAAGCCAATGAGACTGGTTACTTGTAGGAGACAGGAACAGGGTGGAAACAAAAGGAGAATGGGAACAGCGGAGCAGGGGTAGTACATACTTCTCTAGGTGTAACCTGTTGGTATAGCTCTGGCTCTTAGGACTATGTTACTCTTTCACATTTTTCAAAATAAACAAACAACTAATATCAATCAGGCCATAGAGTGAACTAAAAGAACTGCATACAGTCTTTTAAAAAGTGAATCCAACTGTATTACAGGTAAATAATATTTAACTATACTGAAGGATATAGGAAGAAAAAACCTGAGGAATTTAGAAAATAGCATTTTTCTGTATGCTACAAGACTGAAGACAAAAAGAACTGTATACAAGTTTTGTACTCAGTAAAAATTTTTTCCAGCATATATGGATTAGAGGTTATGAAATTACTTTATGTATGCTTAGGAGTGAACAAATATATGTTGCATAATGAGCACCAGCATTCTCACTGTTGGGGATAAAGTTACAATAAGAAAAGGAAGAAAGGGAGGATAAAATTTACTGTAACACTGAACTGAAATGTGAGGTACTAGTCTAATACTAGAGAAAGGGGAAACAGACACTGGAAAATAACCAGAAGACTTTGCCACAATGCTATGGTTGATACATTGTGTCAACTTGGGGTGTCTAGAAGTTTGGCTAAGTGACTCAACAGTTCTGCAACTTGGGGTGAAAAGGACATGCCCTTACCCTTCTGGGATGTTCATTGTGTCAGTATGAGAAGTTTAGAAGGTTAAATAACTATGTGACTCAGGTGCTTATTGTGTATTCATCCTAAGCCTGTGCAAGAGGGCATGGAGATTATGTGAGTGCTACATGGCCCCTGAGTAGGGGAGCCTGCTTGTAATTACAATGTAAGGGACAGAAAGAGGCTTGCTCTTCTCTGCCAGTGCTCCCTTTTGCTCTTGTTGTTTTGCTGTCTTCTGCTGCCATGAACAGTTGCCCTTTGCCATGGGCCACCCTGCCTCGGTGCCAGCCAAGTATGGATTGAAACCTCCACAGACTATGAGCTAAATAAACCTTTCCTTCCTTAATTTTGGGCATCAGGTATTTTGGCTCAGCAACAAGAGAAAAGCAACCAAGATACACAAGGATCAAGGTCTGCTGTCTTCTGTCCTCAATGTGTTGTTTTCTTTTCCAGTTCTAGCGACCACCATGGGTCCAAAAATGGCATTTGCCAATCCAGTCGTC